TCTGTGAGATTTCCAGAGATGTTTTGTTTGACAAATTTTACACCTTTTCTTTCAAGTGCTTCATCAAAACCCAAATAGTGGCCCTCACTTGCAAGATTTACTGAAAACATACTATGGTGCGGGAACAAAGAAAAACAGTCCGAAATTTTGTTCTGCAGATTACTTATCAATCATATGACATTCGTCCAATAAATTTCTTTAAAACCATTTCGAAAATTATAAGCCTGCAATATTTCAAACTCCGGGTCAAAATCACCTCTGAGTAAGAACAAAACTTTAATATTGAACTCGGAATTAATGTTGCAGATTGAACAGCACATACTTATAATAATGCATATAAGAAAATTGATCGAACTAATTTGTTCTTAATTCCTCCCATGCATTTTCGAGGGTTCTTCTGTGCAATTTATATTTTCTAGCAGCATATTCTGCTAATTTACCAAATCCATGTCTATACAAATCCATATAGCGCACGCTTTTTCGCGCACATCTACGAACGGTTATTAAATTAACAGAATCGAGAGCAGAGGAACTGTTTCTTGTAATCTACATTCACCTACCATATTTTTCTCCACAGTCCTCTTTCACTCAAAATCTGCTTTATACCTTTTGGTCGACCGTCGGGAAAATTCACACTTTGTCTTTCATTATTTGAACCCCGCATTTTTGGTGCATTTCCACCAGGTCCAATATTCATTCTCTGTGCAACTAACGCATCAGCTGCAAATGCGGAATGATTTGAACCATTATCAGATGCAAATACCGCAATGCAATTTGGGAATAAAGCCTCAAATATAGAATGGCTTTATATTCGACTTGATCAATAAGGTGTGTGGCTTTTCATTTATTTGGTCGAAGCATATTAAAACAATAAAGAATGTTACGAGAACAATAACGCTAAACTTTTCCTTATGGATAAGAAAAGTGTTGCTTTTCAAATGCCTAAAACTCGAAACTTTTTAGTTAATTAAAAATTCTAAACCGTAACATTTATTCTACTTCGTCTGCTCTATCATTCTTACGGATTAGTTTTTCTCTAAACCCTCTAATAATATGAATAAAGTCGAATGGCTTTCATACGACTGAGTTATTCTTCTGATGCATTAGACTTCCCGTTGAACGAAAACATCTCGCTTATTATATACTTTGACAATGTATTTTTTCTTTTTATTATTTGCTTTCCTTGTTACGAACGTACAACTATGACTTATGCTAATACTAATTGTTCTACAAGTCAAGCATTTTCAACATTCCAAATTTTCAGACATCTCTACCTTATAACGATTACCACTAGGGTAAACAACTGCTAATCCAAGTTCAATTGACTTATTTCTTAATGATTCGGGGAAATAAGAACCACATGCAACACCAATACATTTTTGTCCTATCAGTTGCTCGAATTCTGGAGTATCGGTTTTTTCAACATTTTTTTCAAATTCAGTTAATCGATTAGCAATCCTCTTTAGATGCTCCTAAGAGTATCAGATTTATCAGTAAGTCAGACTGTTGATAAATTCATAACAGCATAATAATTCTTTTATACTCACTTCCGACATCTTGTGTTTACATTCAAGTAAGAATGTTATGTCCTTGCAAGCAAGAACACCGTCCCATTCCATAATTGTTTTCTCATCTTTCATCATTACTCGAGGAAATGTTTTTACAGGTGAATTAAAATTCTTAGCAAGAAAGCTCTGTACGGCTATTAGAGATTCTTCCTCGATCACCTTGTCTTCAACTTGCGTCCAGGTGACTCCCTTTTTTATTGCAAGGAGATAAGATGCGCTTATTTGATAGTAACCGTTGGGAATTACACTTTCTAAAGTTGTAATAACATCTGGCTCGTTGTCGGTATCATCGGTAAGCACCAATCCTCTTGCGTCGATCCTCTTCAAAAATTTAGAAAATAGATCCTCATTAGCCATTGTATACCGTTCAAATGATCCTGATAATGGTTCGCCCTCTTTATTGTATTTTTGAACATGAAAAGTCTTCGTATTTCCTAACATGACAATAGAATGAAGGAACGGTATGGAACAAAAAAACGCGGACGTATAAAGATCGTAATTAGCCCAAGTTCGATTTTGATGCCGATAGCACAAATCTTGAAAGAAAATTTGCGGTTAAGAGAATTATTACCTTTTTGCTTAATTTCTAAAATTTTACACAAAACGCCAGTTGTGTTTTAGAACGATTTTAGTGGTTCCTTTAGGTGTCATTTTCATGTAGCATAGACTAATTATTACGAGATAAAGGCTTACCTTTATGTACTATTTGATAGTGACCGTTAGGAATTACACGTTCTAAGGATGTAATAACATCTGGCGCGTTGCTGGAATTATCGATAAGCTTCAACCCTTTTGCGTCAACCCTCGTCAAAAAGTTAGAAAATTCATCGTTATTATCCATTGTATATAGTTCTGATGTTCCTGGTAATGGTTTGCCCTCCTTATCGTATTTTTGAACATAAAAAGTCTTCGTATTTCCTAACATGACAAGAGAAATAAAGGAACAGTATGGAACAAAAAAGCGCGTAGACTAATTATTACGAGATAAAGGCTTACCTTTACGTCCACCTAATACAGTCACAAACAGTGTATTGATGTTATTAAATATGGCAGATGAGATAAAAATATTAAAAGTTAGTATAGCTTACCTGCTTTAAAAACAGCGAGCACAGTATAAGTAAGGGCAACGATTGTTAAGCAAAACAACCGAAAATCAGTTGTAGGAAAAGTTGGTTCAGTCATAATCAGGAAGAAAAGAGAAAAAGGTTTGTAAATAAAAGTAAAATGAAAGCAAGAGAAGTGAGAGAACGATATAATTTTAGAAAATCGGGAAGCAAAGAAAGAAAGGTTTGTAAACGTAAAATAAAAGCTCATTATTTTATATCAAACTTTTTCGGGCTTTAATGAGTCGGAATAATCAGTGCATAATAACGTAAACTATGAATAAGGGGCAATCATTACGTAATGATTTGTAGCCACAACCAAACAACTCATGAATAAGAAGCCTTATTATTATATGATAAAGGTGCTTCAATGATGCGAAATAACCGCAAACATCACAAGCGCCGGCCATATTACATACCAAAGTAATTTCATTATCCACATAAGACAAAAGATTACCATCGTTAGAATAACATTATGATTGTTGGTTATGCAAAATACGAACATATGACAATGTGGATGGTGAGGCTTGGTAATTGCCTGATGGTCATATACAGTCAAAGCTCGTTATAATAGAAAGTTGGGCACAGACCATGGATGCGTTTATAGCGCGAGTCCACAATAGCGTGCATGATTTGTTATAATGGACTTATTAATTATTACACGTGACATTCCATTATAGTGCGATACGATGATTCACTTAATAATAAATGTCATCAGAATATTCCCTCGTAAGTGAAAGACTTAGTCACAATCTTT